AAACAATGTGAACTTTCGTGAAATGGATCATAAAGCACCTCAAGATCTTTAAAATCATTTAAAGCTCTCGTTCTTTATACTTGTCTAATAATTGTCTTCTTACTAAATTGCTTGGGTAGTGGCATGAAACTCTTATTGAATTAATTTTTCTTAGCCATTTTTTCATTATCTCTACATAATTTCATTGCATAACTCGTAAATTTGGTTCCTTTATAATTACTATAATCTTTGAACATCTCTTTTGCTATTAATCTTCAATTTTCATTCAAAAGATTTTTTTTATTGAACCTTTGCAATATAACCACCACTCTTCAAATTTCAATAGATTTTTCCCTTGTTATTGAAGTTTTATCGTTATTGACCTTCATAATTAACTACCATTCTCTTTTTGAATCAATTTATTATATGCATCATTATTTTGTTTATTATATTATTTTAAAATATTTTTTTTAACATTTATGTTTACATTTATGAAACAGTGATTTTCATTTTTCCTTTGATATCCTCATTTTCAATAAAGATTTTATTTTTTACACTTCCTAATGCATCTAAATCGATCAATATTTCTTTTATCATTTGTCATTTTAGCTATTTTATAATCTTCTAATTTCTTTTTGCTGAGCATATTATTTAAATAAAAAAATGTTTTTGGTTTGATCACTCCTTTATTTGTGTATTTTCTTAATTTTCTCATAATTATTATAAATCTTAATAGAATTCATTTTTATCACTCTTTAAAACACACGTTTTTAAATAATTTTTATCTCTCTTTACTCTACTATCAAGTCTTGTTAATGATATAGGATTTATATCTAAACTCATAAAAATCTCTCTAGTTCCACCAACTCTCTTTTCAGCACGTGTTGATTAAATTCTAGCGTTTAATTCTCCATTTAAGAATCTCTCTGGTGTAGGTTGTAGAGCTTTAGGAATATCTCTTGCAGTAATGTGGGGGAAGACATTTGTGCTCATCTCGCTTTTCATTTTAGGCCGTATGGTGATCTTACTTTTTCCTTTCCGTTGTTGAAGATGCTTTAATTCTACCATAAGAAAATGCTCTGTACGAGTTTGATGGTTGCAATGTGACTCTTTTGTCTTGGCGAATGTCCTTGTATTTCAAAATTCATTCCACTATTTGGAGCCACTTAATGAATTTGATTGAATTTAAAAATCTATCAAAATTTGACAAACTGATCTTTACCATAATGTCATTACCTGCCCTTTAATTTTTAATGCTAAATTGTCGGGGCATTAGTTCTTCACTAGAAATTTTTGCCTGTTTCTCCTCGGTGGTACTGTATCTCTTCTCCCAGTTAGAGTTTCAGCCTAGATAGAGATGGAGATTTAGGGTTAGAGTTAGGGAATTTAATTGACAAATAAGTTATGCTATGTAGATTTTAAGATTAGGAGTTGGGAAAGTAAATCCCTAAACACTTAGGGTTTGGATGGGTTTGATACCAAATGACACTGATTTAGGATTGCTATGCACTGTGGGATGATAAAAGGATGGGTTAGGTAAATCATAGGATGAGAAAAGAGGGTAAGAAAAAAACGATGGCGATTGAGAAATTGTACCCAGCAGCTGGGCAGCAAATCAGAAAGGAAACTGTAGTTTCAGCTACAAAAACAGGTGTAGGAGGTCTGTGTACGTCATTAAGAGATCACTATTTAGATCCAATCAATTTAGAGGCACACCACTTGGAAGGATCAATAGATAGAACATTCTTGCAAGAAAGAACTAGAGAAAGCAATCTCTATCACAAATACCAAAACCCAAATGTGTCTCAAATCAATTCACAACAAACATATATAATTTCCACGCAAAATAACCTACTATTAGTGCTAATTATGAAAAAAAAGAGACTAAATTGGCTGGCTGCAGACTTAAGTGATTAGAACACGTGAACCAATCAACAACTATAGCGGAATTTCCTTTTTACGTGATGCCGATCCCGATCTACATCCCAAATCAGTCCCATTCATGTTTTTAATTTTTTTATTATATAGTATCTAATAACCTTCCCTATTGTACTTGGATTTTTCCCTTTTCCATATAATTCTTGCTAATCAGAAATATTTATTTCTTTCTAATTATTGTGGCTACCAATTCTCTTGTCTTCCCATTCCAAAGATCAAATTTTCTACAACAAATCTAATCTTAGTTTTAGATAGTCAAATGTGTTCACTTTTCATCATAATTAAGTTATGATGTGTTATTGTAAGTTGATGTCTTTTTGAATCCCTTGCTTAATTTTTATCTTGATTGGTGGTTAAATTGTTATGCGTTACTTTGAGTAATGTCCTCGTAAAGCGTAAACTATTTTTTTACCACATTCAAGTGCATCACCTGTTCGAAATGCCCTATGACTAGGAAAGAAAGCCAGATTTTTTTTCATGAATTTGTCATAAATTTTATCTATCAACATAAAGCCCACCCTTCTTATCCATGCTTGGGACAACCAAAAATAGTTTTATAAAAATTATATTTGATGCTTTCTAAAGCCACTACAATGGGATTCGCCATCCAAAAGTATTCTCCTGCCAATTAGAATTACACACACACACACATCGATGGCCGTCTAGAGCTCCGCTAGGGCTTCCAATGGCGATTTCGATCGCAATTGATTCTACCGCTTGAAGGGAGAGGACCTCGCATCGTCGACTCTCGCTCCATACTGGCGTCTGCGTTGGTGTCTCTTTCGCAGCTTCGCTCTTCTGCTCACGTCGTCGTCTCGATACTGCTCGGCCTCTCGATCGTAACTTTTGCTCGTTCGCAGCTCCCTTAGCTCGCGTCGTCTTTGCTCGACGCTACTTCCCTGGTCTGCGCCCGACAACTCCTCTGCCTGCTTCACAACCTCTGTCGCTCGCAGCTCCCTTAGCTCGTGTCATCTCTGTTCGACGCCCTCGCTTCCTTGCAGCCCGTTAGACCGTTTCTTTCTTGACCGTGACCATATTGTGAGGGAGATGACCTTGACGCTTCGTTCCTATGCAAATGCCCTTGCCGGCGACTTGCCCATTCCCGCTCGCGCCCTCCTCCAGGTTTAGAGCTTGTTTTTGCTATCAGTAAGCCCTGCAATGTTCCACAATCGTACCACGAGGCTCTTGAAGGTGGCAGTGATCACACTTTTATTAAAAAACTCGAGAAAAAAATGGGAAGTCTGCACTTATTCTCACTGAGGTTGGAATCGATGCTCTAGCGTTCTCTTGGTGTTTTGCTATAGTGGGGAAATTTCTTTGTGGTCACCCAAAACTGGAGATCATTAGGAAAGAATTTGATGCTATGAAACTATTGGGCAGTTGGAACATTGGTCCACTAGATGGTCGACATATACTTATTCAGCTATCTTACCGATTACACTCGCATTTTCTCTCGAAAAGTTATCAAGATTGACAATCATTTTATGAAAATTCTAAAATGGACTGTCGGTTTTGATCTAAAAGCGGAGTTCACTATCATTCTAGTTTGGATAAAGTTTCCGGGGTTAAAATTACAACTGTTGAACATGAAAATCCTCTACTCTGTAGCAACTGCTTACGGTAAGCCTCTCAAGGTGGATAGTCCTACGCTTGCTGTCATCAGACCCTCTGTCGCTTGTGTTTTAGTTGAGAGAGATATCACTCAACCAGCTTCGGATGAGATATAGATTGACATTATTCACAACGGGTATTGACAAAATGTTTAAATAGAACCACATCTTCCTTATTTCTCTCATTGTAATATGTTTGGTCATAATTCTACTATTTGCTATCGCTTGCATCATCATCTAAAATCGAATATCACTAAAGATCAGCCACCTACCATCCTTGTTGAGAAGGTCAAATCCGATCCTCTTTCCAATATCGCAGTTCCACATGAAGAACACCTTACTACAGGTACATATTCAAATGTATTCAAATGTGCTGATACCACTGATACCACTTACCGTTATTTCAGAAGACCTACGTACGTGCCAAGACACACGAGAGTGCTCCTTTAACCCGATAGAAGATCAGCTGGTACAACAAGTAGTTTTTAATGTTCAACAACCTACACATATCATGCACACTTCAGACTATTCTGCTGATAAGGTTAACCAATCTTCAGATGAGGAATGACAGGTCTACACGAGGAGGAAGAAAAAGAACGGAGGACGACTCGAGTTAGGGAATCTATTGGATTATACGTTGGTTACTACTGACAATGACATTCATCTGACCAATTTATTAGCTGGCTCCTTCCCTAGAACTAGAGGCAGAGGCAAGACAAAATCGGGTCGCTCTCCAGCTACTTGATACTCTTATTTTGACATCTTTTGTTTTTTTTATTTTGATCTCTTATGTTTTTTGGTTGTATTTTCTCCTTTTTGGAACCATTTGATTTGGTGGTTTTTGTATGGACTGGATGCCATGTTTGGGACCTTTCATAAAATCTATATGTACCCTACTTTTTATTTAATATATCAGCCTTTGGGCTTTCAAAAAAAAAAAAGAAATATATATATATATATAATCATCAATGTTGATTCCAAGCTGCAGAATAACGTATACACAGAAAATAATAGAAGAAGATAAGAAAAACATGTTTAATTGATCCCATTTGAGCCGGATTCTTGTAATGGAGCTTTCTTGGTGTAAATTTTGTTCAAATGTAACAGATAATTTTACCATCCATGCAGTTTGATTTTATTTGACTATTACCTTGATCTTTTTATTATTTGGTGTGCAATTCTTAGAATAATAAAAATAAATTATTTATTTATTTTCAGGGCGAATTGGAAAGTTGAGCATCAAAATTCCCTGGAAAAGGCTTGGCTGGGAGCCCATTATAGTTGTGTTAGAGGATGTTTTCTTATGTGCATGCCAGCGTGAAGATAGTGAGGCATGTTTATTTGCCTGCTTTTAACTGTTTTCTTCACAATTTTTTACATTTTGAATACAACTACTTCTGTTATTTGAGTTATTCGTGATCAAAATATCATAATAATGCTTTTAGCAATAGCTCTTTTTTATTTGATAGTGGAGTGCAGATTCAGTGGAAAGAAGAGAATTGGCTGGCAAAATGGCTAGACTCAATGCGATAGAGCTAGCAAAATTTTCAAGACGAGTGTCAGGTTATCTTTTATTTCATTGCCTTGTTCTAATTAATTTCATTGAACATCACAAGTTAGACTTCTTAATCTTAGGGAAAATTATGCTCATCACTTTTCCCTACTCTACTACATATTTGTTATCGTGAAAGCATACTAAGCATCATCTCATATTTCTTTTCATATTGTGAGTTATCTTTATTTAAGAATGGCATATAGTGTTGATTAATATTCAATCCCTATCACTTTTCCATTCATTTCTAATTTTTGTAATAAGCTTTGCGATATGTGATTGTTTGTAGAGTGAACCTTCTGAGTATGATACTAGTTGCGTTAATCCTTTACTTTTAATTTAGGCTTTTTTACCTGTTTTTTAAGTAGTACCAGGTTTATTAGGATTGTTGTATGGTTGTTATTGCCAGATAAATATGACCATGTATCCATTCAGATGAATGAGACTATATAAAAGATGCCATCTGCTCAAGTGGAAAAGTGGCAATCTTACTCTTCTCGTGTTCTCGTTATAAGAAAGTTGTTAAAGTTATTACACTTAGAGCGGTGGTTGATATTGTTGGGAAATCCAATTGTCGAGGATTACTTTTGCCTTACCTTGCCGATACAGACATTTTTTGTAAATGATTAGTTTTCTGCTTGTTAGCTAAAAAAAGACTTAAATTTTTGGGACAAAAATTATTAAATGCTAGAATCGGAGTTTTGAAATTATAATGGTGCTATTTCCATCGAATTAACTTCAGTTTATGAAGAGCTTTCTGATGCGGGAGGTCCCTTGTTCCCGCTTCTACTACATATGTTATAGTCCTGCGATTGATCTGCTTACTGGACTGGACGCAGAACCCTCTCAACTACCTTAGACCGGTTCAGAACATTGAATTGAGGGCTGGCCGACCTTCCTTACATAGATTTGGTCCCTTCTTTCGACAATAGGTCCAATCCTAATTACGCAGGGCTTATATATTTGATTCATGTGTTTTTTTTATTTCAGTTTTTCATCTGTTTTGTTTAGGACAGCTGCCGACGTCATTATTCTCTTTTCGAGGGCTGTATCCAAGGGATTGGTGGTGCTCTGACTGCATCTCTCTTTCGATGTGGTGATTATCTTCTCGATCCCATTCTACATCTTTCCCACAACGCTCTTGATATCCCTCGTTATTGCAGTCACCCATAATAGAATTCGTTTGTTGTTTTTCCATGTAATATTCTCATTCCAGCCTTTCGTGCTCATTGCCACTGTCCCAGACAGCTGTCCCAGACAGCTGTCCCTTGCTATCCTGCAGTCCCTTGCTTTGCTCTTTCGTCCCCCGGAAAAGATCAAACCTGCTGTTTCTCTGCTGTCCCCTGGCGGTTCCAGCCTTTCTCACCTCGCCTCGTCACTCTGCTTTCCACCCCACTTGCTGCCCTCATTGTTCCAGACCTCTACTTCGCGGCAAATGCGATTCCGGCTGTCCCAACCACCCTCAACTCATTTCAGCCATCTACTTCCGCTTCCTGATTACTTAGCCGACCTCCACAATCTATGGTTTGAGTCATAGCCTGAGTTTGTGTCATGTTTGTTGTAATTTTCCTTTCAAGTGTGTTTGATTGTTACTGCCTATTTGATTTCAGTAATAATATTTACTTTTTCTATTGTGGTTTGAGTTTACTCCTGCATCACTTTCTCATCTCTAAAAGAAGTCGAACTTGCACTTTCTTGATCAGAGTTTAGAGCCTAGGCTTTTTTTTTTTAATATTTTTCTTTGACTAAGTGGTCTAGTATAACACTGAAGAAATTGCAACCAGGGAATAATGAACTGTTGAGATTGGAACAAGTGGCAAGGTTGAAAACGAAGCACTCACTGAACTACTTTAAAATCGTCTTTTTCTTGACGTTGAGAATATTTGATGTGTCGTGCTGATCTATTTTGATGCTTGGACTGTAGAGAGTTTGTACCAAAGTTAAGTACCCCATTAATTTACAGGCATCTTCAGCATTAATCTAACAACCTATTAGAATTTGAAGTTTAGAGGAACTCATAATGTTGACGTAAACACAGTTACATCTTTTCTGTTAAGGTAGTTGTATCTGTTGTTGTTGATCTATTCATTCTGGTTAACCTTGGTGATGAGTACTTAGCATTTTAGGCTGCGGAAGCAGTTGGATGGGCTGAACTTTTCTTATACAGCTTATGCAAAAAAAGTTAAATGGATATATGCAGCACAAGTAAACTAGAAAACCGCAAAATGAAGCTCAAAACCTTGCTTCAAGATGTCTGCACAATTGTAGAGACAGCTCATCTATTTTATTGTTTGGAATTCACTTCATATTTCAGCTTTTTTTGACTAATGGGCCTTCCATGTGCAAAAATGCTAAAAGAAAATATCATATGCCACAGAAATAAATGGACAAAACATGAAAATTGCATGTTAAACCCCTTCATTTTGCTATCAGATGTGTGCTACATGGTAAGAATATTATAGTTTAGGCTAAAAGTAGGAAAAAAAAATTCAGCAGCTCAAAGTATTAAAAATTTGCTCTAATTTCCTAGACTTCACATCAACGAATGTGAGAAGCTTCGCATAAATAATCTTTAAGGAAAAATCATGCTTTATTTTGATTTGACATCCATGCAAAATTTTTAAGAAATCCACTCCATGCAAAAAAAACTAAAGTAAAAGATCACATGTAACAATATTGAATGGGTGAAACATTATAATCAGGCTGTTTCCATTGATTTTGCTTTCAGCATGTGTTACTTCACAACAAGGTTGGTAGTAATGCTTAAAGTTACAAAAAAATAACTCATTTAGCTTTCTATACCTGTGAAAGGTCATTTAGTTCAATGAATTATATTAATGGTTTAGGTTAGAAGTGCAAGAATGGCTAAAATCTTGTACTAACTTTTTTAATAGTAACATCGATCCATGCATTGTTAATGTATTTTTACTGTATTTAACAACTTATGAATTGGTTTGTCTTTGAGAATCCGTAGCTGCTTTCTGTCCTGTTGAAAGGACCTTTTTCTAATTTTTTTTGTTCGGCATCCTTCTCAAACCACACTGCATCAAAGAATCTCATAAACCATCCAGATAATCCTCCTATTTTGATAAATCCCTGTCTTTCTCATCGAACTTTAATCTTTCTGTTGCCATGTTTTATGGGGACAAATCAGCTTCTCCAGTTTGACCTTTTTTATTTTTGATTATAATTATGTGCAGACAGTCATGCTGGTCAGTCCTTCTTATCATTTATCTCCACGAAGGTAAACATAATAAGTGTTTGTATGTATTTCTGAGCTGATTCAGAATTTTAAACTTTAAATTATTTCCTAAATCGCTGCTCTCTTAAATGTGTTTATTTAGATTCTTGATAGCATCCAATTGTCCATAAGGAACGTTCATGTCATCTATATTGACTCTCATACTTGCCAGGTATTACGCCAAGTATGCAAAGTTTATTTTTTGTTTAGTAAATTTCTGTTTAGAATCTTTTTTTTATTTATAGTCAGTTGCCATTTCTATAATTATTGTTGGTATGTTTCTGACTATCCTCAATTAGTAAATTAGCTTTTTCTGTTTTTTTTTTTCATAATTCTAATCATCTAAATGTACAGTTAAATAAATTTATGAGGAAAATGATACTCATCATGGATGACTTATCAGTAGGTTTGCCTGATAAAAAACAAAACATGTCAATTAAGTTAAGTATCACCAGGGCATAGAAGATATTTTAATTCTTATTTTAATTCTTACAAAAAGATATTTGACTCTATCATACCTACTAGCTCATACTCTAAGCTCAATCATACATCTTATTTTAATTCTTACAAGTATTTAAGCACAAAAAGATTACATCTGTCACATGTTAAACATACATTACAGTACCGAGTACAAGTAATTTAACGGATAACATTGCCTTGTCAAACACCAAAATCCCTACAAAATATTATGCAATAAAGCAGTAGCACCTCACAGACATATGTCCGTAGAAGTGCCTATGCATCTGCGTAGTCAATAATAACAATTTGATATATTATATTGTATTACATTGTAGATATAAACATACTTCAGAAGTCTTTTATATTGTGTATCGTATGATGACATTGCTGGTAACCTTAAACAGAGTAAGTGCTCCTTGATTCCCCGCCGGCATTATGAATTGTAAAACCTTGGCCTGAGCCTCTTCTCATGTTTTCATTTGTGCAAAGAAGGTTTAAAATTAGGAGGATATTGTGCCAAAATATTTCAATAAAAAAATGATATCGCTACAACAAGGTTAACTAACAAGAATTTTTCGAGAAAAAAGAGGAAGTACATAAAGCTTGGGGAACTAGATTCTAAAATGCATGAAAACTACGAAATGGTGCATTTGAATCATTTAGCTTAAAGTCTAATGAAATTAGGGGAGTGATGATATATTTTTTTTCTATTTTCTGACTAGCTTGATAAAAAGAATTTGAAATCTTTTATCCTCTGAGGTGTCAACATTGTGAGTATTCTCAGCTATCAAATGTCTCGAAAATATCATGTTTGTCATTATGATTACAATTTTCAGGGATGGAAGGATTTGTTATAAAAGTGAGTCAGGATCAATGAACATGCGTTCGGGTGAAAGTCCAGTCACTGTTACATGGATGGAATGAGCAAGCATAAGAGTGTAAACTCAACAGAAAAGCTGATTTTAAGTTCTGATTGCAAACATGATCTAATTGGGAAGCTTTTAGAGTAGTTTCGGACTGGCTTTGATCTTTTTTAGCTTTTGTTTTTGATACATTGATTTTCTTAATTTTAGATGAGCCTTGAAGCATTTAGAAAAATTTTACTAAAAGTTTTACAAGATGAGCAATAAGATGAGATAACTTCAAATTTCATTTTTTGCCAATATTCATAAGTGGAGGAGTCAATCCACACTTTTGCAAGTGAGAAGTAAAACCTAGCTCAATAAGGACATGGACTACCGATGCCCCAGAGAGACGAGCAGTAGTATTATCAATTTGTAAAGATTTGCTAAATATTGAACATAGTGAATGTAATGATGAATGGTCGAGAGGATTTAGTTAAAGACGAGGGAATGATATTAAGACTGGAATGATTGGTGATTTCTTAGAAGAGTCAAAATGGGGCGATCATTTTAGTGCACACATTGGGATATCACTGATATAGCAAGTTTGTTGGGAAAAAACATGTTGTAGTTAAATTTGAGGATACTCTAATAATGAAATAACTAAAGGTTAATAAGCCCAACCGAATGGCCGACAATCATATGTAAATTAGCTAAAAAGCTGCTGATAATTTTATGTTAGGATGACCAAATGGAAATTTTCCAATTATAGAAAAACAAGAGGCCGAGCAAGCTTAGTGACCGCATTTGTGAAAAAAGAGCAAGTTTTCCTTGGCACGTGAAAGGAATCTTATGATAGTGTGAATTTGCAGATTGATAAAAAAATTAATTTGAAATGATTGTTTGATGAAGATTGATGAATTCTATCTACCATTCAGCCTACCAACAATATTTGCAAAAGAGCAAGGGCGATGGGCAATAAGAGGTTCCATTAGGGTTGGTGAAGGCAACCTAATAGGGCATTCATCTATAGTCCTAGGACTAGCTGAAAAGTGCAAAAGAAGAGGGGCTTGTTGAAAAATCGGTGGCAATGGATGGATCTTGGTCGGCAGCAAAAGATTAAGGAGGTTTAAAACATAATATTATGAATACATGTAATCCTTTCTGGATAATCAAGGCTTTAGGCATTTTAGTATTAATCTTTTTTTAAATAAAATTTAGAATTTTCTCAAAATTCTGTGTTGCTGGATGCAAAATTTTTTAGTGTGGTATAATCTTGATGATAAATTTTTGAGGGAGCTTCTTCTTTTATCTTTCTATGTTATGGATTTTCTATTTGCGACTCATGAATTTTATTTTGCATTTACATACTAATTTATTGATTTTGATGTTATAGATTTGGTCGAAGTCTATTGATGTGTTGATTCTATCCACGATGTCGACTACGCTCGAGAGCTCTGCTAGGGCTTCCAATGGCGATTTCGGTCGCAATTGATTCTATCGCTGGAAGAGAAGATCTCACATCGTTGACCCTCGCTCCGGCGTCTGAATCTACGTCGACGTTGACGTTCGCACTCCTTGTCGCGGCTCGCGTCGTTGTCTTCCTCTGTCGCTATAGTTGCTCTGCTTCCACGCCTCTGTCGCTCGCAGCTGTCGTCTGTGCCCGACAGCTCCTCTGCCTTTCAGCAACCTCGCAGCAATTTAATGCTGACAACCTTTGATGGCGTTTCCTTCTTCTTTGGTTGAGCCAGACAAAGTCTCATTTGCCCGCGTGGTGGCGTGGTGGGTAACCCTCAGGAGGGAGTCCGCAGTGGTATTCCCCTCAAGTTATAAGGAATGTCGTGAGGGTACAAATGATTGTTCTTTTATTAAGAAGGGAGTAGAAAAGGAAGAAAATAAACAATCTTTTTTTCTGAATAAAAAATTTCTATCCTGACGTAAAAAGTCAAGTTTGCTCTTATTGGCAAATTTCAGCAGGGACACCCTCCTATGGATGTTATCAGAAATAGTGTTGATGATCTTAAGCTAGTAGACAAGTGAAAAGTGAGACTCATGGATGAGAGATATGTGTTGATCTAACTAACAGTGGCTGAAAACTACACCAAAATTTTCTCCAAGAAATATTTTAATATCGAAGACAAATAAATAAAGTTACTCAAGCGGCCTTCTAATTTTGACTCAAAGCATGAAACTTCCATTATACCGATATGGTTTAGTTTACCTGGTCTCAATCTGCATTTTTTTCACCATTAGGTTCTCTACTCTATTGGGGCTATCCTTGGAGATCCTTTGAAACTAGATTTGTCTACTTTCAACCTAATCAGATTCTCGGTGACCAGAATAATTGTGGAAAGAGATATTACTTTACCTGATGTTACTGAATTTTGACTGGATGATGTTTGGTGTACGTCAAGTAAGATCCATAAAATTAAAATTGACTAAATAAGCGAAAATATATTAGATGAGTATGGGGAGGCAAAATAAAATATTAGGATTTTAATTGGCTGAAATGAAACTATTATTAAAAGAAATCTACCTTTATTATGTGGTGATTGATTGCATGGCAAATTTTACTCATTATATCAAGGAACAAAAATCATACCTAATTGCTTTATTAATTTTATGAATAATTACTACTTTTTAAGGCAGGAGAAGTTCCTATAGTAATACTTCTTAGGTTTAAATTTGAATTAAGACTTAATATTAAAAGTGAAAGGAGCTCACATAACATTTAGTCATTAGAGGATGCTTTTCAATTTGCATCGGACTTTGAACTCCTAAAATTTCTTGCAACTAAGACGTTGACTTCATATTTTGGAAATGTTTTTTTCTTTAAAGAAATCATACTCCATTTGTTTCTATCACGCCTAATGGGTTAGCAACACTATTAACAAAGACACTTTTCAAGGACATTTTTTACTAAAACCTACAACACCAAGAAATACACACATAAGCCTTTAATGTACCTGCACAAAATAAGTGGGAGCACAAAATTTCCCACCGATTTGAAAAACTTGAACAAGCATTTAAAATTTCCTTTATCTTTTACCTTAGCCTTGGCATAGGGGTTGGACTAGGCAGCAGTATTATTTTTAAGGATAAGCAGTTGGAGTAAACTTTATTGGTGATGATGAACATCTGATTAAAACGGATGTGCAATGTCAACTCTAATACTGATTAAAATTTATGTATTTATTTGTTGATGTATCTAGGGGACATTTTAATTAAGGCTTTAATCATGCTTCTTTAGTTATTGTTTAATTTTTTTAATTTAAATTGTTGTTTTATCTGTTCAGGATTAATTATATCATATTTCTGAAGTATCCATTTCTAGAAAGGAGACTCTAGGGCTTCTTTTGAATTAATGATTATTTTTTGTAGCTTTTTGTCGCTGTGATTATCTTACTGAGTCTTTCTTGATATTCTCCTCTCCAAAACTTATATCGCTCAATGCTTCCTGTAGCTTGTTTTTTTCTTCCCATGACTCCCTGTTTCAAAACTCCTGCTTTCACCAGTTTTCTTCGCTTCACACTCATCACCTTCTCTTTCTTATTGATCATCTTTCTTTCTGGTGAACCCCGATTTGGCCTTCATTTCATGGGATGTTTTTTGTATTTAATGCTTAGCGCTGTACATAGTTTATGACGGAGTTTATATTATGCTATATGTTCAAAATTAACTTTTGTTATATATTTCCTTGCAGGGTGAGTTTGTATTCGGTTTAAAATTCTCAACTCTTACTGTAATGACTGATACAACCAAGAACAGCTCTAATGTGTGAGTTTTTAACATTCGATGATAGTTCTGCTTTTTTGATGTATGATTTCCATTTTAATGCTCTAAAGATTACAATGGCTCTATGATATTTGTGTTCAACTTGCAGAAGCCATGCATCTTTGGAGTATTTGGGGATATTACTGATTTCATAAATTTTTTATCTACTTTAATGCTGTTCACCAGGGATCTTTTGTTGGTACTTGTGATCATATTTGATGGTTTCTTCATTTTTTTTGACTAGCTTGAACTCTGTGTCTTTTTTTTTTTGATATAAAAAGTAAAAGGGCAAAATTCTGCCAATAGTGCAAGATGCTAAAAATCTTTTGGCAACAATATAAGTTGCTGGGAGGATAACTGATGTGAGGCTATTAAAAAATGGAAAATTTTGTTGGATATTATGCGGCAAAGTGGGTGAAAATACCGAAAGAATTTTTTTTCTTATACAATGGGAAATGCAGAAATTTTGAATTGTGTTAAACCGATAGGAAGCAAAAAACAATTCAAGAGATTCGTCAGTAGCAGTAAGGTGATGGATGAAAGGGGAGGAGTTCTAGTTAGTAGTTTATAAAAGAAGCTAATTTTCATCTCCCAATTGAATTATAACCATTGCTTTGAAGTGTTTACAAGCAGTGATTTAACATCCACTCAAGCAGTCACATTTTAGTTTGGCTTGAACATTTTTTATTCTGCTTGCCCATATTTGAGGCAAGTATGACAAGTGTGAATATTGGAATTAGTTATAATTCAAAGAAGGGATAAGATACGTTGTGTATTCAACTTTGGTTGTATATCTTTCCCTTTCATTACATTGAATTGGTAGGATACTTTTCAGTTTTGGTTAATAAATTCAACTAGGTAAATTGATTGTATATCTTTCATCTCGTTCTCCCTTTTTTTAGTGGCTATTAGTGGGGAATAAAAGTTCTAGTCTTCAACTTATTTACTCATCCCAATTTTCTACATATTTTCAATAGAGTCCTGTATTAACATAAGCAAGCTGCTCTCATATTATTAACGAAAACTTGCATTCATTTTTAATCCAAATGAAGAGAACTTTGAGACGTCATATCCTTTTTCCTTCTTCCTTGGTAAGTTTTCTATAGAATGATCTAGTATGGAGATTTTTCATAGATTCAATGCCTTTTTGAGATTGGTTGGAATTAATCAGTTGAGCTTATTGTTTCTTGTTATGTTTTTTATAAGCTATCCCTCAAAGTTGATTATTCAAAACTTTTCAATGAGATCATATTATGTGGATGCTTAAGTGGTTACCTCACTTATATTGTTCCAAGTAACCTTGTGCTATACCAATTTATGTTGCTTTTCTTCATCTTTTAATTAACTGCTTCAACCAATCTATTCACTATTTGTGGACTCTAAAAATTCATGGCCATCTCTACTGAGAACGTCTTATTGTTATGGATTAAAGTTTTAGATAAGATACCAAAGATTTGACTTTCATTTTGTAAGAATTTATAATATTGTTCAAGTTTTCTATAAGTACAAGCCTAAATAATTAATTATTCCTCTCGATAATTAGAATTTTTTTTATTGAGGCTAATCGGTAGGCTTTAAGTGCTTAACATATAATCATAATAGTCTTGATTTAAAATAGATGAAATTTAGCACCTTTAGTTTAAAATGGTTGTAGGCGAAATGATAATGAACTTGTTCAAGATCCCATGGTCCCATTGTTTCGGCTTATTGTATACATTTGTTTCTTTAATCGGCGGAACTAGTTGACACAACTTGGGGTTACCCACTCAAACTCGCCAAGCGGACTTAAGACCTTACCCTATAGGTAGGGCTACCCACTCAAAAAACATTCGTATATGTTGTTGAATTTATTTTTGAAAGAAGAATTTATAAGTTTTCAAAAAAGAAAAAAAGAAAAGAAAAAAAAAATGATTACATGATTCTCTAATGTAATCGCATTGTCCTCGATGCAAGGTGAAACTTTTAAGTTATTTTATTCTTAGTCCACACATTGTTCTCTAATTTAAAATTTATATGTTTGACATGTTTGTCTTTTAAGTTATTTTAAAACTTATATGTGAATTTATTTTTAGTCCAAACAATTGTTTTGAAGTGGTTACAAGGAGTGATTTATATTATTTACTATGTTTAATTTCTAAAATTTGAACATAGTTTACAGAATTTGCACATTTTTTGATGCATTTGCTTAATACACCTGCATGATTTTTGGTTCATTTGCACGGTACACATACAGACTTTAAGATACATTTTCATAGTACATCTACATGATTTTAGGTGTCTTTGTACAATTTTTGCAGTATTGAATTATTGTTGAATATTGCCTCATGATGCTCGTAATGGAGTTAAGTCTACGTGCTTTTTCATTTGTGATGCATGATCTGTTCAGGTCAAATTAAGAAAGAGTTGATAGAAGATGAAACACTAGAGGTTGAAGGAGGCTAAAGATGGTGATGGTGGTGCTGTATGAAGATAACAGCAGTTATAAGGTAATTTTGATTGAACGGGGGAGGAGAAGGCAGGGTGGCAACAGTGTTGGACAGTGTGTGGAGGCAATGGACTAGAGGTTTAGATTTTTAAGAAACATCAACCCTGGCCAATGATCAAGAAGGAAGGTTGTAAGAGTCAATGTTGATGAAGATAATGACTAGATTTTGTAAGAGTAGTGTTCTTGTGCTGACAAGGAAATTGGAAAAGACCAATGATGGAAAACAACAAAGTTGCAACTCCAAGAGGACCATCAGTGAGAATTGGGATGATTGGTTGCTTGGAGAATTCAAAATGGCCAGGTGTGTAGGTTACTCATTGAATGGGTTTTATGCGGTGGGGCACCGTGGCACGTTCATATACATTTAGTTCTTACATCTATATTTAGTGGGTTCTGGCGTTTGGTTTAGTTATACATTATGGATTATTTTTAATGTTTGTTTTTGTTCCATCTATCTTAGAACTATATTGAGTTTGTTTTGAGTATTAATTGTAAATGGAATCAATTTGGCACTTTCCGTGTATCGCCTCTGTTATTTGCTGTGTGGGGTTGGTTTTAATGAAATTGTTTGACCGGGATTTAGACCCAACCACTAAATTTGAAATGAGTCTAGTTGTTCATTTGGCCAATTTATTATCTCAAGCTTAATGGTTTGAACTAAGGCATAGCTTAGAGGTTGGATTCATTCAAATTTAAGTTTTATGTCTTCATTATGGTTGTCTTTTATTAAATACACTCGCCAATTGGTGTACTTGTTGGTAAAATGAATTTGACCTATAGGTCTTGCATAAAGTCTTACTATGTGCGGTTGGAAAACTTGAAATCATTGACATGTTGAATTAAGTTTGAGATGATGGTTCAAATTTATGTATCCCAGAATATATCTTGAGATTTAAACATAACACAATCTTTTTCATTATATTCATCTAAGAGTTTTCTTAACAATATTCAAGTTCCATTGGTACAATACTTTACAATTGATTGATATGCAATTAACTAAAAATATTGAATACACTCGTACAAACTATTGTTTTTATGAGTACTTACTAGACATAGATTTTAACCTTTTTGAAAAATTTGTTGATCGCAACTAATTATATTTATGAATCTTTATATTTCATTCATTTCTGAGTAACTATAAATACCAAGCAATAATTGATAATAATCCATGCATTGTTTTTTTAAGCTTTTTTTGGGATAGCTTTCCGCACAATTTTTAGCACATGACAGATATGCTCATGCAAGGGAGCAGCTTTTCTGCCCAGATGTGCTTCAAACTAAGAAAACACAACATCCTTCACTACACCCTCTAGAATGATCACCAAGCCTTATGACAGAAAGTTGGGCATATCCTTTCTGTCATACTGAGGATGTGTTTGGGGCGGTGGCGGTGCGACACCTCACCATAGTTCTTTTTGTTTTGCAAAACTGTGTTTTGTCTGCGTTATCAAAAAACTGTAGCTGAAAGCTGCGTTTTTCCCCTATACCTGACTACCTGTGGCGGCAGTTAGAAAGTTGCAATCTAATTTTTTCAAAAAAAAAAAAAATGTAAATGCCACAGTAGCCTTTTGAACAACAGATTTTTCTTCAGCAGCTTTATAACTTCTTATTCAAATAGCTACAGCTGTTCGAAACAGATCCTGAATGTGCTCATAGTTCTCTTAACTTTGTGTCATATTTAATACATGGTTGACTAATGAACTGAGCTGAGTTGAGCTTAGCTTGACTCGAGCTTGCATTAGCTAGAGATATAAATATATGAAAATTTAATAAAGGTATATGGATATTCTATCTTTAAAACCATTAACCTCTTCGAAATTACTTAAAGTTCATGCAATTTGATTCAAGAATTTCAGAATGTAGAATCGCTTTTCAAGAGATGTTTGATCATTTCAAGAGGATCTTCAATTAGATTTATATGGAAAAATGGTGATGTTCATCTCTTCTCCTTTTATGAAGGTTGGCCCACACCTCGTCTTATTTGGGGTGTATTCCATGATAATAACATATTTCTTAATTAGGTTAATTAAAAAAAATTAATTACTTTTGCATGACACTTGCTTGCGAAGCAGTTGTGGTTAGAACGTCACCCTCACTGCTTTGAGAGCCTTATTTAAGGGATTTTTATCCCTTGTTCCTTTATTATGTGCGAGAGACAAAGAGGACAAGATAGTGGTAGAGGAGCAAGACCGAGAAGGAAGAGGCAGCGTGCGGATGGTTCTGTGAGTGAAGGAAAACGACGTTGAAGTCAAATGAAAGTTTCAAAAGTTTTGTGCCAAGGAGGAAGGGTGATTGAGCGGCAATCTCTGCTGTTGCTAATGCCAGGCGCGAGTACGAGCGATCAAAGGGGGAGGCGACGATCGTACAAGCATACGATCGCTCAAGTAGGCACATTGAGCAGTCCTATCGCTTAAGCACGCTCTTTCCTTGCTTGTCTGCGATTGGCCATAAGGGAAATCAAAAAAGATTGAGGGAGGAGTGCAGGCAACGTCGTAGCCATGCAAACTTGGTGCTTCCTACACATGTGAGAAGCTTGACTGAGCGGCATCTCACACAAATACATGTGTGAGACACTCAATTGAGCGAATGTATTCTTCGCGTGCAAGAAACAATAATACAATGAAGGTAATTTATGAATTTTGTGACTTTAGGCTATAATTTGGAAACCCTAAATCATGTTTTATGAGTTTTGAAAAAGGGTTGAAGAAATTTAAGAAATATCACAAATCAATTTTTGAATGTTTGTTAAAAAATTTGCTTTAGGAACTTGATTTAGAAGCCCAAGCCAAAATTGCAGAATAGAAATTTCAAATATGAAATTTAAACCATGTGGAGCTTTAAAATTGTTTGATTATTAGATCAATATGAATTGCTGTTTTTTTTTTTAATTTGTGTTAAGTTAAATTAAAAAAAAACCGAGTTTTGAAGGCATAATTAAATTGCTTCAATTCAAGATGCCAAAAATTGTTTTAGGAAAGTTACATATAATGATATATGTTAACATTAATTAATGACATAACTTTCATTTAATCAAAATATATTGCTAAAGTGCATAAATAGAAATAATCATACATACTTATAAAATCCAAGTGAAGGAAAATCATATTAAAAAATATTGTTAATTTAAGGATAAAAAAAACGAACGCCAAAAAATAATAGAAGCTAATTCAGTTTAATCCATTAATATAGGTACACTGAATGAATAGTTGATCTAAGAAAGGACAATTGACTATGTTGAACAAATGAATAAATATGTTTTTATTTTATAGTAGATCTTTGTGAAATCAACTACAATTGTTTCTACTGTGTTAGTATTTTTCTTTTAAAAATGCACGTTTCATGTTTTTTCATACACTTAAATGTTTAAAATAAACGTTACGTAAATAAAGAAATAAAATATGATAATATGTATATGTATTTGTGAAGTTACCCACGTATGGTACTGATTAGGGAAGCAAAGTACCTGTGTACATCAAATAAAAATAGAAATGGTTGCTTACCGTTTTGTTAGGATTTAAAAAATGTTATGAAATATGTATTTTGAGTGTATATTTAGACGGTGATTCCATTGATGAATGTTTTAAATGAAATAAATTAAAATAATTATAAAATTGATTTCTTTACTGTCTTCTTTTTTCAGCTTATTTTTTTGTTAAAAAATATACAAATAATCCTTAAAATTCTCTCATGAATGGATCGGGTATTTAGTATCCCTCCATTGAAATCAGACTAGAGCTTTTCCTTCAAAAAATAATTCTGCTGCCATGAGTTTTTCCTTCCCATCTAGCCTATTCACTGTGAATAATCGCTCTGCTTGGTACACCCACCCATGTGCGTCTTCCCTCTCGAAGATCGACATCTTCAACTTCATAACTCCAACATTTCCACTCCAACTTCCTCTCTCCGCTTTCCCCCCTGCCATATATCGAGGTTAATATTTCCTCCTTCGATCATAAACATATCCCTTCTCTGCCTCTCTTTTTTATTCATTTTTCTTCATACCTCTTGCATAATCTCTTTTCCATGTTTCAACTCAACCACTTCCATCAGAAATCTCTAATCAACTCCCAATCTGAGCTCTGGAATGAGGATTGTGATGGTGGATGTTTTCCTTTTGTTCCTCACGTTCAATCTCATTTTCTTTATGTTTTGTAAATTGAGCTTCCGACATGGCCTTGAATTGTATCTCGCCTATTTATCATCTCTCGAATTTCCCTTATGCTCTCAAGTCGATCCTTCATTCGGTTCTCCATGGAAGAAAACCTATCCTCTATGGTGGCAAATATTTTTTCCATCTCAGATCTAATATGGCTGATCTCTTTCTCTAATTTCTTTTCCCAGTCATTTACTTTTTTCATTGCCATTCTTCTTAGAATTTTTTTTAATCACAAAAGACAATTTTTATATGTTGAAATCTTTCGGATGAGACAAATCGGGCGACTGTTCCGCAAGTCAGTGATCCCGGTTCACTCCACTCCGATCGTGACTTCCTAGGTAGATCCAATTGCGACCGTCTGGCAGTTGCGGTCCCATCTTCCCAATTAGATTTGAATTGTGACTGCTGCGCGAGGGAAGAGCTGGAACAGGAGAAGGTTGGGAGGCCTCTTCCCTGTCGTTTCCTTCCCATGTAGCTGTGATCGCGACTCTATCGAATCAACAACGTGGGAGGAAGAGATAACTTGGAGTTTTGGGCCTCTGTACATTGCTTCCCCTGCCTTCCCATGTAACTGTGATCGTGACAGTATCGGGAGTTTCAGGTCTCTTCGTCGATCCCTACCGCAGTGTCCGAGTCCAATCTTTAGCACCCCCTTGTACTAGAGTGTACTCGAGTTTTGTGCCTCCATAAGTCTCAATTCTTCTCTATTAGCTCTAATTGCGACTGTTTCGCGAGGTGAAGTCACAAAATCGTCTATTTGCCGCAATCCTTTCCCACGTAGCGATCCTTGGCTAAGCGCCAATCTTTGCAAAGGACCTTAATGGGGCTAGGATCACTTATATTTATAACAAGCTGAGCATGATAAATATTTATGCTCTAGCTTCAGGGAGAGTGCTATGGAAAGTAATAAATCTGAACCTTGTACATGAAGTTTATATGTTATGAAATTTGATATTAGACAACTAATTAGAAGAGATTTAATTACATGATCTTTTCTATATTAGAGTTATTCCTAATCTAGATAGTTGAGAGTGTGTATAAATATGTAATATATGTTTTCAATTGTGAATAAGAAAAGAGTAAGCTTTCCAGTTAGAATTATGAATGAATTTTTTTGGCTATTGCCCAAGCAATCTAACTTGTTTATGCGGGACACTCTTAAGTTTTGTATTCAAATTTCTTTCTTTCTTATTCTGTGTTGCAGTTATTCATAGATTTTTGCTGTATCAATTTGTAACGGAATTTTGTTGGAGTGATTCAACATTAGCTTTGGTTGTTACATGGAATCCTCTGATCTTGAACATAGGAAATTATATATTTAATCTGAAAAATGCAGTAAAGGTAAATAGAATTTATAAGATGTTTTTGAAAAGCATAATCAACGTTTCTTTTCTTTGATGAACTTAAAGGCAAGAAGTTTCCAGCTGCATTATACCAAGAAGCCTATTTGTTTAGATTTTCAAATGTTATATTATGTGCCAAACTTTTTGTTCGTTCTTATCTACTCCTGTATTGCATGCTTCATAGTGGCATTATAGAAGATACGCCAAGTTTTTTATTTTTTTCTCCTTGTCAGCATTATGACTTTTCTAGTGCTGTATGAAAATTCATCTGCCTTTCTATTAGGTCCTCTGTTGTGAAAGCAAAAGGTGGCCAAGTAAGTAAGATTGTTGAGATATCTAGCGTCGGACTTTATTGCAATATGTTTGAAGCAGCACAAAATCCAGAAGGTTTCGCTGCTATAGCAGACTCCAAGACATATTTTAAGCTGAATTCTGACAACGAGAAAGAGAATTTTTTAGTACTTCCATTTGATGTCAGAATCTGCCTGCTGGTATGTTTAAGGTTATGATATTCATCATCTTTCCTTCAAATTTTATTTGATACTAGTGATGATTTGGCCAACCATTGAAAGCTGTTACTTTCTTATGCTTAATGTTTAGATTTCTGTACCTCTGAAGACTAACGTTCTGCAGAGTGGTTTCCGCAGGCAAATAAATCTGAAAAATCCAGTAGCGCATATGCTGTTGATATCGAATCCACTATCTTGGTTTGTTCTCATGCAATGCAAAGGCAATTTTTATCATCATTTAAATTTTTAATGCGTGATATTTTAATTTTGAAATGCTAATGTTATTTCTGTTTGCCTTTATACGTTATCCCAGGCAGTCACACTAAATGAAATGCAGTTGCATCAGATTCTAAGTCTATTTGATTACTTCTCTATCTGCGTCCTTAGAGAAAGGTTTGATTTTGCTTTTCATAATTTTTTGTTTATCTGATCTTCTTTGCAGTCAATGAGTGCGTTTAAAAAGGCTCTGAATGTTTTCATTCAACTGATTTCAATTCCTTTTGCTGATAACCTAGTCTTCTTAATTGAAGATATGTTTGCTGCTGTAAATTACGGGCAATAGTAGCAAGGTCCGTGCGTTTACGCGTGTGCGTTAGAAAAAAAATAAAAATAAAAAAACTTACTGGCAATGGTATATGTTGGGGCTGTATTAGTGTGTGGAAGATTATGCATTTATACTGGATAAGATACATCGTGTCACGAACTGGCCTGAAATTACCAAGGCGGGAATATTCGGTCAACGGAAAAAATACCTAACTATTTCATTTCATAAATAAAATGATCTAAAACAAAAAAAAGAGCCCTTCTATTTCATAAAACTTTAATTTACAATAATTCGTGCATATGTTAATTTTTACAACTGGCATAACTTAAAATTTAAAGTGTAATATCAATCAGCCTCAACTCCTTCACGTTAGTATACATGCTCTTTAGGACGTTCTATCCTACAACAGGTTTTCTATAAAATGTTAACAACTAAATGTGTGAGTTAAGCGATTCAGTGGACAAAATATTTCTAAATTACAATAATTCTCATTTAATTTAATTTTTTTTTTGTAAAAATGCTATGAGCAATAAAAAAGAAACATCAAATAAATAGTTTTGTGTTTATTTTCATTTATTTATGTTACACTTTTTTTTATTACAAGTCATGGTTTTAACATACATTTTTTTTAAAAAATACGTTTGCTTATTCCATGCCCACCAAAAAGGTGGGCATCCTTTTCAATATTTATTTTCATTTCCATTTTCGTTTCGTACACATGTACATCACTTCTCGAGCTAGTAGAATTTGAGAGTGACTTTATATGCATACATATATTAATTTTTTTTTCTTGCATTTAACATTAAAAAATATGAATTTTTTGCATTTTAAAAGAAATGTTGGAAACAGTAAAAACATGTGTGATTGTTTTTATAGTAACATGTTTAATCTATTGTGGATTGCCTTTTTCCTTCATTCTATTTGTCCTTTGGTGCATCTATAATAATCATTTAAACTTAATTAGCATCGATGCATTTTAATCTTTCATTCATTTTCTATATATATTGTTTTCGATAATAATCCTTTCTATATGACTATTCACAATTCATTTCAGTTTCCAATTACATGATTGTGACAGACTGTTATCCTAATATTAAGCTATTTCATCATTAATCTTAATACATAAAATAATATATACTATATTTAAATTAAATTAACTTTCCAAATTTCAAATTAGGTAACATTCTTAAACTTTTAACCTAACTTAATATTAATTAATTAGGATAATTAACATTTATTTATTAAAATGGGTATTCATACTTGAAAATTTTCTCCTAAATAAGGCTCTTTTATGAATTTAGTCTTTTCTCCAAATATCCTAAACAAAATTTAACAAATTTTAACTCTCTCTCTCTCGCTTCCTCTCTTCCTTTCTTTGCCTCTCTCGCTCGCTATTTATGTATGGTGGGATCGAACGAACGAGAGGATAATTCCTCTTATTAGCTTTCGTTTAAGTAGCGAGGTTGTCCTTAGAATTCATCTACTTCACGGGCGTCGTGAGCATATAAACATTATTATTTTTATTAATTAAGTTATTTAATTTAATTTAATATAATTTTTTTAAAGTTAATTATGACATGACCTTAATTAATTGAGAAATTATGCTCGAAGTATGTGTGGGCTTCAAACATTGATGACCGATTTTCCCGAGTGTGGTTTAAGGTCAATTTTCTAAAAATTTGTTGAGGTTTCTTATGGCTTTTAGGACTATTTATCCTTCCCGCAGTGAGAGATTAATTTTGATTAAGACTAATTTGTAAATGCCAATTATTTACCAAATAGTCACAGTAATTTGATATGAGAATGACTAATTCTTCCCCTTTAATTTAAAATTGATTACTGGGAGAAATGATGATGAGTTCGATCAAGGTCCCATTTTTTTGTTGTTTTGGTTGGTCGTAAAATTGATCTATTAGGCAGGCGAGGTTGTCAATCTTAAATTGAAAGATTAGTGCCAACAATCACAGGTTGTCTTTTAAGAGGTTAGGGTAGATGTTTGCTTAAGGGGATATTTTCAAGCTGCTCTTGTCACGACTATCAAGGTGCTTGGAATTACTAAGGCTGAAATCGTCGGTCAGATGAAGAAGATTATTTAACAGTTTCATTTTATAATTAAAATGAAATCTAAAAGACAAAAGAACAATTCTATTTCATAAAACTTGTATTTACAACAATTTATTCATATTTAAGCATTGCATGTATTACTGAACTATATGTGGAAGGTGAGACTCATGGATAGGAGACATGTGTTGATCCAACTAATAGTGGCTGAAGACTACACCAGAATTTTTTCCAAAAAATATCTTAATATCGAAGGCAAATCAATGAAGTTACTTAAGTGGTCTCCCAATTTCGACCCAAATCATGAAACTCCCACTGTACCGGTATGATTTAGTTTACCTTGTCTCAAGCTGCATTTTTTTCATCATCAGGTTCTCTACTCTATTGGGGTCATTCTTGAGGATCCTTTGAAACTAGATCTGCCTACTTTCAACCTGACCAGACCCTCGGTGGTCAGAATACTTGTGGAAAGGGATATTACTTTACCAGATGTTACTGAAGTTTGGTTAGGCACAACCCATAATGGTTATTGGCAACAAATCATCATGGAGCATAGACCTTATTGTTCTCATTCCACTATAAGATGTTTGGTCATGTTTGAATGTTGGATGCATAAATATGTACCACAAATTTCATCCTAATTTGAAATCTAAGGGTCAAGTGAATAAGGATGGGTTTAACCCCACTGCTGTGAACATTTTAGTTCCACCTGAGGATGATACTATCAAACAGGAGGTGTCTGTTGCACCTAAGGACCTCCCCCCCAATGACACTGCTGTTACTGTTACTGCGAGTGATGCGATGCTGGCACCTACAAACTCCATACAAAATATTTCTGATGGACTATTGCCTATAAATGATAGTGTTCAAACTGATAATCAAGAAAACCTCGCAGCTCTCAAGAAGTAACCGGTGTAGCGGCAACTCACACTTCTCATATTGTAGAACCTATTGTGGGTACTACTGTTCCTTCTGGTTCAGCTCTACCCCATCAAACGGATTCTTCGGAGAAGGAATGATAGGTTTACACTTCCAGGAGAAAGAAGAAGAATGAAAATCTACTAGAGCTCAGAATCTACTAGAGCTCAGGAGCTCAGGAGTCTTATGGATGATACTTTGGTTACTACGGGTAATGGTCAACACCTTACCAATCTGCTAGCTGGATCACTACCGAGAACCAGAGCCAGAGGCAAGATTAAATTGGGATGACCCACACTTTTTCAACACTCGGGTGGTTTTTGGGTTTCTTTATATTTATATATGTACCAATCTTTTACATTTTTTGGTGTGTGTTGTACCGTGTGGGTTGGGTGTTTAGGCCCACCCATACGTGTACCGTGTGGGTTGGGTGTTTAGGCCCACCCATACAAACCTATCTGTATTTTTATCTTTAATATATCAGTCCTTGGGCTTTTTTTTTTTTAAATATATTACTGAACTATAACGCCTATCATTCTGCACACCTCGGTGCCTGCACACATACTCATTGGGGTCCAACTAGCCTAAAACTAGTTTCTTATAAAATATTAGCAACTAAAGGTTGATTTAAAACTATCTAGTGGTCAAATGTTTCTAAATTACAATAATTCTCATTTTGAAATATTTTGTAAAAAAATACTGTAAATAGTAAAAAAGTCAACGGGCAACAAAAAAACAATAAATATAATATTTTGTTGTTTTCTTTCATTTTTTTATGTTTCACTTTTCATTATTAAAAGTCACCATCTAAACATATACTTTTTTAAAAATATATATTTAACCTTTTACAGCCATAAAGGTAGACTATAATTTTTATTTTTATTTTCATATATGGGTACATTAAATTCCTTTGCTAGTATCACTCAGGAGTGACTCACATATGCATTAATATATCATATTTTATTTCGTTTCTTGCATTCAACATTTAAAAGAAAAACAATAACTTTTGTATTTTAAATAAAAAATACTAAATCAGTAAAAAACAGTTATAGTTGATTTCATAAAGAACTTCAATGGAACACGTGAGGATATCTTTAACAATTAGTTGCTTTACAGTAAAAACAATTAGTTAATTAAAAATTTTGAACAGTTAAAAAAATTATTATTGCAATCTCCTATTCTTATAAAAATTTTCTCCTTAAAATTTAAAGTACAAGAACATACTTCATACCTTAATTGAACACGTGAGGATAACTTTCTATCATTTTTGATTCATTTTTCCATGTGATTTTTTTTTCAGTTTGTGTTTCCATTATACACAAGCAAAAGGAATCTCTCTACTTAGTTTCTTTACACCATAATCTTTGATTCTTTCTTGTTCATCTATAAAGGTCAGATTTGGTTGAACTTCAATGGAGTGTATGACAAGCTTCTCAGTCTCATTATCAATATATTTCCATAGTAAGAAGATATGAAACACATTTGTGCATGGACTCAACTTCCTAGACTTTCCAAACCGCTTAACACATTTTGTTGGACTGATCTTTATAAAAATAAATTTTCCTTCAAATTTCACCGGTTGATGCTTAGCATCATGCTATTTTCTCTGCCTATCTTGGACCACTCCTAGTTTGTCATGAATGAGCTGGATCTTCTCAATTGTTTAAACAACTAAATTAACACCATTTAATTTCTTTTCTCTAGTTTCATCCCAACAAAGAGATGTTTTCATTTTCTTCCATATATAGTTTCATATGGAGCCATACCATTACTGATCTGAAAATTATTTTTGTAGGCAAACTCTATCAGAGGTATGTGCATTCCCCAACTTTTACCAAAATCAAGTATACGATGTCGAAGCAGATCTTCC